ACACACACACACACACACACACACACACACACACACACACACACACATGGTGTATGTTCATGTTAATACACACCTGTCACTGCCTGTATCTACATATTTGCACACAAAATTAATGAATCACTTTTGATTAATGTTACAAAATGAGCACAAAGGAGGCACTGGGAGAAACACACACATTCACACACACACACACACACACAGTAGATGTCACAGGAATGAGTCACCACCAGGAGATAATACTGCAGAGTCTAAAACCTCTGTCAGAATCAACGCACAGCTCCTCACATCAGATTCACCCTCTGAACTCTGTCACACCTCCTCCCCTCCCCGCCTCCACTCGTCTCCCTGCTCCTCTTCTCTTCTCTCCGTTTCACCTTTAACCCCTTCCCTCCTTCTCCTACTTTTACGGTCTCCCTCCGTCAGCCATCCTCCTTTTCACCCTCCCCTCTACTCTTTACTCCTTCCCTTCCTCCCTCCTCTCTGCCCCTCCTCCACTCACCACAATTGTGGATGTACATGTTGTGCAGTCTTATCTTGGAGGCTCCGTTCCTGCAGTACAGCTGCTGCGTGTGGAGCCCGGCCTCTCCTCGCTGCTGCCACAGCTGGATCCAGCGGATGTCGCAGCCGCATTCGAACACCACTCCGTCCAGGCCCCTGGAAACACGATTGTGAAACAACAACAACATCAGCCTAATCAATAAGGATGTGACGCAAAGCTACTCTTTGTATCTGTAAATGTCACGGGCATGTCTGGGGCCATTTTGCATGATTTATCATAAAAAAACAAATGGAAGTGTAATGTGAATGTATAGTTGGTCTGACGTGAATATTGACAAAATTGAGAAAGCTATTGACAAAACATGGGCCAAATAAAGAAAGGGGTTGTGCATGCAGTAGTAGAAAGGCCAGATGAAATGAGAGATGGCTTCAAGTGTCTCTGAAAAAAAAATAGACAGCTGGGGACAACAATGTTAAGAGCTCTCTTGGCCATTTTGGAGATGGTCTCTCACTGCTATCAAGATAATGAGAGGCTCACCAGTCAAGCTTTATGTCATACTGAGCAACAAGTCTGGTAAAAACTAGAGTTTTTGTCTTAAACATAGATTTCACTACTTATTTAGTGAAGGGAGACATGACAGGAGAAACTAGACAAGAGAGAACTTAAAGGAATATATATACAGTATACAATTTGTACATTAATTATTCAGCCTGTGTTACCTTGAAAATAAATAGCTTTTCTCTCATTTATCCAGTTATATGCTCATTGTCACGCTTGCACACCGGACGAGTCCTAAGTGTTCTAAATAGTGAGGTTTTCACAGAGATGCATGTGTTTGGGAAGAAGTGAGCATACAGCTGGATATTTGAGACATGGATCAGTCTATGGTCTATGATTAGTCTTGGATCAGTACGAAGTGTTGAGGAGGCAACATGTACTTCAGTCTGCTGCTTCCAGCAGGTTGCGTGCACACTTAACCGTCTCCATTAGCAACAGCAAGAACAATCTTCAGCTGCATGAAAAGCCACATTTCAGCACTCTCGAGCTAATTAGAAACATTCTTCACGATACCAGTAACATCAATGCAGTTATCACCGCCAACACTAAAACGTATCAAGTGATGGTTCATGCAAAACACGCTGGCGTGTGTGACGGTCACCACAGATGCGAATCCAATATAGGTGGTTTTACTCAGATGAACAGACCAGATGAACAAAAAAAAACCGAAGGCCAGCACTGCAGCGTTCAAATGCGAGAAAGTCAGAGGTCAAGGCAGTGTTGAGGCTATCAGACTCATATTAGCGGCAGGCAGGTATCATCGGGCTCATTGGCACATGCATATCATTACGGTGTGAGAGTTGCATCATTCCGCATCGTAAGCCACCCCTGCATTTTGCATATGTCCAATTTGGAGGCTGCGATTGGCCAATTTTGCCAAGATGAATGCCTGTCCAAATGTCCTTGACAGAGGTCAATAAGATATTGCGGAAAGCATGAATAATGCATGCGGTGCGTCCTGCATGCTTTATAAAGTAATGAGAATAGATTTCTGCAGGTGGGTCTCTCTTGTTACCAGGTGTTCACTGGATCTGACACTGTAGTCAGAGCTGAGCTTTTTCACATCCTCTATGAGGCGGCATACCCATTGAGCTAACAAGGGAGTGCATCTATCCTTTTCTCTTTCAGGAAATTTTCATTTTAACAGTTATTTTACAAGTGCTCTCTGACTGCAGTCAGCGTTGGAATTATTTTTTTACCTTTTATGCCGACAACAATGATCAAAGTCAAAATCGATATAACTCAAGAAAACTGCACATCTAATCTTTTACATTTTTCAGACTATCACGTAGGAAAAACAACCGATAAGATACGATCGAAACATGGATTCATTGTGCCTTTGTGTTCTTCAATTGCAGCAATTTGTGTTTTCATTACAGAACCTTCATTAGGCGACGAAACCATTTTTCTTTTCTGATGAATGTATTTTATCTAAGATGGAAACATTTGCACCAAAGCATCCTCGTGTGGACTCTGAAAGCTACTCTGTATATAGCACAGAGGAGTTCAGACCACAGACAGGGTGCTCCCTCCATGACGGTGCGGGGGAGAATTCCACTTTTAAAAAAGGTTTTCATTAAACGCTGAGCAAGTTGAACCACGAGGGATCAAAGCTCATCAGAGCAAGGCGGCCCAGGGGTTTCCCCCTTTTATACTGTAATTATGTTAATTGTTAATAAGAACCACCACCTCTATACATTATCCACTAGTCCTCTGGGCAGCGCCGATCAGGGCCAACCTGCCGCAAAGAGCTGAAAATAGCAGGGTATAGCACTTAAATAATAAAAACTGCAACCCCTTCGTTTGAAACGTGTGCCCGGCGAGTACAGTACAGTAAAATGTTTTTCACTGCTCCACCATCTAAACAAGCTATAAGACAAACAAATGAAGAAAAAACAGCAAACTGACAGCTGGAAGTTGATAAATGTCTGGAGGAGAGCAGATTAGACTTTGAAAAGAACAAAAGCAAACAGGAGTGTGACCCAAGATACAGACAGCTAACAGCATGGTGTTTCCTTGAAGCTGGCTAACGATCCACCCCGCTACTTCAGAGGAAAGGTAATGATCACCACCGGAGGCTGTATTTCTGGGAAATATACACACACAGGTGCTCCGGCTGAGGAGCCGCGCATCACAGGCAACGCTAAGCCACATACCGCATTGTTGCCGGCGCGCTTTGATCTCAGCTTGAATGCACCGCTTCCTCTCCTTATGCTGTTGTCAGGAATTATTTGAGGTTTTCAAATCCCGCGTGTTTCATAAATCGCCTTATTTACCACAGGGCTCCTGATCTTGGGTGTGACTGTGGGTTGTGTTTCCTGTGATGCCGGGCTTTGTGGTAATTCGGCAGAAAGACGCGTGGTTATTTGCTCTGAGTGCTCGGCTCGTCACATTGTAAGTCACTTTTACTACAATACAGTACATCCAGATGTTAATGCATATTAATAAGAGAAAAATGGATTTGTGGATCTATCCCTGACTAGTAATAAGTTAGCTTTTATTCCAAAGAAATCAAGGGGTATTTCATTACTTAACTATGAAGGATTACATCAGGACAGTAACTCAGTCCTTTTTCACTCCAAAAGTGACTTTCCTTTTCATTTTCTCCAACACCGTACAGTAAAATGTCTTCAAATCTTATGTCATGATTGTGAATTACAATGCAAATTTACAGTGGAAGCAAATTTATATTCATCTCGTTTTGATTTTCCCAAAAAGAAAGCCTATAGGCCTACCCTAAAATGACTTTACATTTTGTACAACAAATTGAAATGTCATCCGTTTTTAACAAGGTTAGGGTTAGAGTGTTGTGTCTCTTTGTGGCCATTTTGAGTCTCTGTAGTCATTTTGAGTGTCTTTGTAGTTGCTTGGTGTCTCTTTGTTTCTCATTGCAGCTGTTTTACATCTCTTTGTTGTTGTCTTGGTCTCTTTGTAGTCGTGTAGTGTTTCTTTGTAGTCATTTTGAGTATCCTTTTGGTTGGTAAATGTCTCTTTGTGTGACATTTTGTTGGTAAAGACTGACACTTTGTGCCTCATGGGCCAGTGCCCTGTAGGCCTGTTCAGTTCTCCTCCTGCTGATGTTGTTTTGTTGCTAGTCACAGAGAAAGGTTGGCGACTCACTGCACACACAGACCCAGTGGAGCTGCAACACAATAGCGAGCCCTTTTAACATTTAATCAGTAGCGGTAATAGCAAAAGTATCAACAATTGCTTTTTGACGAGTTAGAATTCGGAGGAAGTAGACGAAATGTTGATTCTTAATATCCACATTAATTTCCTACGAGTGGAAACGTTCATTGTAGATATCTGTAACTTCATGACAACTATTACCAACCTCTACCATGGACCTCTATTCAAACTCTATTACAGATAGGCTTATTGATAAGCCAAGTTTGACGTGTTGTAATTCCAAGTTGACATATCCATGATGTAGTTTGACTAGTTGCAATTCTAACCAGAGAAGTGCAATCATTAGAATTCAGATCGGTGTGTCTGCAAAGACATCTGCTGTAATGCGTGATTGAATGAATCCAACACACGACTGTCACCCCGATCCACAAATATCTGGTCAGGTATCCTCAGCAATGTACGTACAGGAAATGATCGTGGTGATTTGTGCGACGTATCGGAAATTAACATGGTAACTCTGGGCAACATATCCTTAACAGGTGATGTATCAGACTTATCAGAAGTGCAATTGTTGGTATCTGAAAGAGGAAATTACATTTCCAATAGTAACAATTCTGGAAATTCAATGAATCGTTTGAAAAGGAATTACTGATAGCTACAATTAAATCTGTAAATCAGTAGAATTGCTGAAAAGTAATTTCTACGTATTATAACATATTAACATTTTTTTCAGATATCTTACATTTACATTTGAACTGTTCAAAAAAAAGAAGAGATTTTGACATGTCAAAATATAATTTCCACGAGTGAAATCTAAATTGCTACTAGTCAGCACTACTGATTGGATGTTAAAAACGTGAAACAAGATGATCTTCTAGTTACAGATGGTCTCTGAGACAAACAAATATAGATCCACTGAAAATCCGTTAGTCTGTAGCGTTAAGTCTTGTGATTTTTCATTTAACGACAGGCCTGACCAGTGGTCACTTTTCCACAAACACACCACGTCTCAGTGGTTTAGCATCATATCATGTCTGCAGCCACTGTGTGCATATATAAAACCCTTTTACAGGCTTCTTGTTTGTTGACAGTCATCATTTCAACTGACAAAATCCCCAGTCTTTGGATAGAAATAAGATAAATCGCTGAACTTCAAGTGGTAAATCTGCCACCGTTAGCATTGTAAACTGTATGAGGTATGTGCTACACTCGAGGAAATATTGACAGGCGTATAGCAACAGTAACTAAGGGCGGAGCTTACTAAACAGTCAAATCTTTCTCTTTGATGGTATTGAATTGGATTTTTTATTGAATCATATAAATCTATTTTTGCTCTCAAGCACTCATTGCTGTTGTGTTTGTGCACTACACTACCCATAGATCACTTGTCAATCACACATCGTGGCCAGCAGTCATTAGCATTATAGTGTGGGGGGGAAAAAGCTGTCATGCCATCAGATTGGCTTCT